CATGTGTAGGGGGTTATTTTCTTCCAAGTATTTGACACTTCATACCTTCTAAGTGCTGTACTTGTAAATACTAAATACACTGGCACTTCCTATAGAGATTATTTATGTGCAAATAATGGACAGATGTTCTATCCGTAAATTCTATTTTCCAAGAATTAGCTTTTTTTAAAGCAACCCACTCAGCAAAATTTGAAAGGCACTGGGAGCCGCTGCAGCTGGACAGCGGGTGGACCATACGCACATTCCCAAAGGGGAAGCAGCGAGGTCGCTCCACCCCGCCCTCCTCCCTCCACAGCCACCTGCAGCCTCAAGCAGGTCCAAGAGCCCAGAGCACCTCAGCCTCGCTGTCTTCTAAGAGGCCACTAAGCCAAGCCAGAACATCAACAGGCAAGACTCGAGACTGTCACACACTGCTGGCTCCTTATTGTAGCCCATACCATTAATAAAGGGAACATGGTAATGCAAAGAAAAGTTTATTTCGCGTGTCACTTCCATGAGTCTTGGCAATCAGCCTTTACACAACGCTGCCTAGGCCTGCATGCGGATGGCACAGTCGCTGATGCCCACCGGGCACCTCTGCGTGTGCACACAGATCTTCACACCCACACAAGCACAGCGCCAGGGGCCGTGCCAGAGAGAAACCTAGCACCCGGCCACTGTAGGAGGGCAGCAGCACAGGAAAGACTCGGGTCGCCATCGCTTCAGCAACTAGCGACAAACCAGCCAAGGGTTCCAAACTCTAAGCGTCCACAAGAGACTGTGACACGGGAGCGGCACAGCCAGCAAGGTCCCTAAGACTCGTCCTCCATGTCCACGTCCTGTTGCAGCTGCTGCACCATCTTTTCTTCCAGCTGCTTTCCTTTGCCTTTTAAAAGACGAAAATTAAAACTGTAATCAATTTCATGTGACTTTGCAAAGTTTGTTCGATATTCTATAAAGAATCTGACTTATTTTATAACAATCATTACTTTTTCTTCTTTTTGTCATTTTAAGACAGGGTCTCACTATGCAGTTCAGGCTGGCCTTGAGCTCACTTTGTAGCCCAGGCTGGTCTTGAACTCACAACAATCCTGCAGCCTTGGCCTCAGGGCTGAGATTACAGATGTGCATGCCACGCCTGAGTACCACAGCCATTTCTAAGAAACTTCAGAGTAGCTAGTTACCCACACCTCACGCTACACGAAGCAAGCACTCCCACATCTGACCTCCTCCCAGGACAAGAACCAGCTCCCACCACGGCCAGGCGGAGCGAAGTGGGGCAGGAGGCCACCCTGGCACCTGACCCAGCAGGATTCCTGATCAGGCTTCTACGCCGCACTCCTGCCTCAGACAGCAGATGGACACCCATTCTGCTGCTTCAAGGTGCCTGTTCACGCCAGCTCTACTTGGAACAAATGCTCCAGGATTTGGTCTACTTTGATTGAACAGAATTTGCTATGTGTATGTGGACTTCATACAAACCTACTAAGCACGTGACACAATCTGAACTTCGCTGTGAGCCAGCGCAATTTCTCTCCTCCAAGGAATCTACATAAATTACGCTAACTAAATGCACTTGAACTGGTGCCAGGTGAGTAGGAACTGGTTTCTTGGCACCTGACAGACCAAGAGCAGAATGGCTGCGTCATAAACTACCAGGTGCCATGGCCCTCTGCACTTCAGCACCTGGGCCCCCGCGTCACGCCAACTCAAGCCAGAGTCTGACCCTAGCTCAGAACCCGCCCTTCAGTCAGAACAGGCCAGGGGTAGAGCCCACATGCAGCCATCATTCAGATCACTCTAACCTAAAGAAGACTTGCATGAAGGATACGATTTTAAGGAGGAAAATCTAACACACAAGACCAACCCAGCTCAAGAGAACACGGTTTTTCTTCTTTCTTTGTGGCACTGGGACTAGAACTCAGGACCTTGCGCTTACCAGGCAGGCACTTGTGCCACTATCTTCCCGCCCCAGACTTTTGTTGATAAGGTCTCACTGTGTTGCCCAGGCTGGTCTCAAGCTTGTGGGCTCTGCCACGCATGTGGCATGCTCCTATAACCCCAGCACCAGGAGGCTGAGGCACAGGGTCATGCTGAGTTCAGCCCAGCCTGGGCTACACAGTGAGACCCTGTCTCCAAAAAGATAAATCCAATTCATGGGTTCGCGTGATTCTCCTGCCTCAGCCACTGAAGAGCTAGAGCAGGCATGTGCCCCTGCGCTGGTGAGACAGTGCATTTATACACCGAGTCCTGTCCAGGATGGACTGCGAGAGGGCAGCAGCCAGGAGGTCGAGCTCTGGGCCTGGCCAAGCTCACCTGCAAGAGGAGCCCGGATGAGGTGGATGCTCTGCTTGACCTCCGTGATGTCCTGCACTTTCTGGAGCTCTTTGTTCTTCTTCAGCCTAGGGTCAAACACAGTGAAGCCAAACTTCAGTTACAGAACTAAGTAGCAGACGAGCGTTCACAGCACAGCTACTAAACGCAGCAAGGGCACCGGCAGGGCCAAAGCAGGCAGGCCCTCCACCAGCCGCCTCTCAGCGTGCACAGCAAGAGCCCAAGCCCATCGTTCCTGGAGCATGCAGGGCTCAGCTGCTCCCTGAACCCAGACACAGCTCCAGCCTGAGTGTGTCTAAACACAACCACACCCCTGTTGTGCTGACTGAAGGACAATGATTGGGACCAACCAAGGACCTCAGGACCAGGGTTGGTGACACTGCCAGCCGTGACCTAGAGAGCACATCCAGTAAAGCACTGGGTCTGCGTGCGTGCATGCGTGTGTGTGTGTGTGTGTGTGTGTGTGTCTGTGCCTGGCGCAGCATGTGGTGCCAGGGATCAAACCTCAGACCCTCAGCTTGCCTAAGCCTGCCTAAGCAGGCGCTTTGGACAGCTGAGCTATCTCACCAGCCCCTGCCTGCCTCGGTTTTTCCTGCATCATGGAAATGTGTGTGTGGTGTTTGGAGATGGGGTCTTGCTAGAGAGTCCAGTCTAGCCTTGGACTCTTGGAGATCCTACCTCAGCCTCCCAGGTGCTGGATCACAGGCACACCCCCATGCCCAGCCCAGCCCAGCCCAGCCCAGCGCCTCTGACGTGCTGACACCTCCTGCGTGCCAGAAGCTGCTAGGCCTCCAAGTGACCGCGGGACACATCCGCAGGGCCTAAGAACGGCCATTTCCAGGCTCAGGCAGGGAAACGGGGTCAAGGATGAGGCTGCACACTGGCAGCCGCAGCACTAGAAGCAGAGCGCTTCCAGGAGAGGAGCAATGCGAAGGAAACGGAGTGTCGGGCACACAGCCCAATGTAGCCGCTCAACCAAACAATTACACACCACAACGATCCACATGTGTACATGGACACAGCACAAAGAAAAGTCAGAGGGATGATTTTCAAAGTGGGGAAAAGGCTGGAAGAAAATGCAGCAGAAAGGATCAGCAAATCACTGTCTGGCAACCTCCACGAGAATGCACAGGCCATTGCGAGGCCTCTGCCCTAGGGCTGGAAGACCCCACTGGACTGAGGGCCTGAGCTCTGTTCGGGGCGCAACTAGCCCTCCTGACACGGCACACGACCAGAAGTCGCCGTCGTCTTGGTGACGTTCTGCCCACGGCACCCGCTGCTGCCCCAGGAGGACAGCACAAGGCCAGGCCACCCGGGGACCTGCGCCAGACCTGCGCCCGCTCCACCCCACCACTAGATACTTTCCCAGAAGCTGCTCCTCACGGGGCTCATACCTGTTCATTATAAATCTGGCCTGGCGCTTCTGCTTGATCTCCTCAACCCTCTTCATCGCATCAACTACAAGAGAAGTTCATTACAATTAGCAAGTTTATCCCTCCAGCAGGATGATTCCAATCAGCAGGGGCATTCACACACGCTCGTTCACTTAGAAATAAATCTAGATGAAAACGTCACTGCCCAAATAACCCCCACTGAGCAGCTCAGAGGCAGGCACTTTCCAGGCCCCAAAAGGCTCGTTTCTTCAGTTTTTTGCTTGCGAAAGCCTTCATTACTGCTCAACTGCTCCTCCACGTGAAGCCGGACGAACACTGTTCAGATTTGTTCTAGAGAGAGGATGGATCTAGCCCTACCGTCACTCTCGGTGTGCAACTCCACAAACAGACTTCGCACACAAGCGCCTATCTGCCCACACCATGGGGAAAGGACCACCCTGCTCCATTCCCAACCACTGTGGCCCAACCACTTAGAACATCCACAGGAGGCGGCTGCACGGGCTCAGATCCCGACCTGTGGACTTTCTAGAATCTGTATGAGTGTTGCCTGATGCAGGACAAACCACACATAAAATTTTATATTTTCTAGTAGTTGGATTTTTAAAAAAAGATAACAGGAACATGCAGAGAATATTTTAATTCCGCATGTCCAAAATATTATCATCTCAACACACAGATCCATACAAAAAATTATAGTTACATACCTTACCCCTATTTCACCCTAAGTTTTCAGTGGGCCCTACATTTTACATTCATAGCACATCTCAATCCAGACATGCATGGAGGAAGTCCTCGACGAACCAGCCTCTTAAAAAGAGCAGTGCACACCCCAAAATAAAACAAATTATTTTGAAGAAAAAAAAAAGAGCAGTGCTTTCCAGAGCCCTACTGTCAGACGGCATAAACTGCAGGAAGCAATTTCTGGACGCAGCCAATACCCAGCAAATCCTCCAAAAGCCTATTTTTAGGATCCTAATAAAGAAGGATAATAGCATCTGCACAGACAAGAATGAAGGCAGGATCACTTCTGCCAGACATCGAGGAAGTGTATGGAGTGGGGCAGCGGAGCCGACGCCAGTGAGCTCCGAGCCAATGGCACCACGGGACACTGAATGAGAGGGCACTGGAGGGCAGCACTGCTCCTCGACTGCTTGTGCGAGCCGAGCCACAGTGACACAGAGCTACAGAGAAGCTGGCACTAGATGCCGGGCATGGTGGCACACTCCTGTCATCCCAGCATTCAGGAGGCTGAGGCAGGAGGATCACTGCAAGTTCGAAACCAGCCTGGGCATAAAGTGAGCTCAAGGGAGCCCGAACTGCACAGACCCTGTCTCAAAAAAACAAATAATAATAATAATAATAATAACAAGTTGAGACACTAAAGACCTCCAGGACACACCCACGCACAAGGCCAGTCACTTGTGCCACAAGGAGCAGGTGACGCTCCCCAGGACCAAGCTGTGCCACACAGACAGCATTGGGGCTACTGTCTTCCGGTGGCAACAAAAAAAGGAAAGAAAACTCAAACCAAAATGATACAGAATGGGGCCGAGGAGTGCTCTGGGACCATTCGACGATGTCCCTGATGAGAACGCCTCTGGAGCCAACCTGAGGCGCCTACGGAGGTACTAACTCAGAGCAGTGACGGCGGACCTCTTAGAGCTGGCAACAATGCAAAGAGCCCGCTGTGATACAGCCACACGCGAGGCGGCCCCAAGAAACCAAGTGCTACTTCCTTAGCAGCTAACCCAACACGCGAATGCTTTCTAGAAATTAATGCTTCCTCCAATGAAAAACTTAGGGGAAGCTTTAAGAAACAAAACAGGGCTGGCAAGACAGCTCAGCGGTCTAAAGCACCAGCTTAGCCAAGCTTAGGCAGGCGCAGGGGACCCGGTTCAATCCGCAGCACCACATGGTGTACCAGCCCCATCCTCAGGATGCGCTGAGCCAGGAAGAAGGAAGAAGAAGAAGAAGAAATAGAAAACAGCCATGTGGGAAAGCCAATTCCAGGCCTGGACTCTGACTTCTTTTATTTTTTTACTTTGATACAGGGTTGCTACACAGTTCAGACTCATAGTGATCCTCTGGTCTCAGCCTCCCCAGTGCAGGGATTACAGCATGCGCCACCACGCCCTGTTTCTTGATTTGCAGACGGGAAAGGACGACAAGCAAAGTTCAGACAGGTGTACCACACTGGTGTGGCCCAGCCTCCTCCTCTAGGTGCGGGCTGGGAAGCGCGCAGGCAGGGCCTGCCTGAGACCAGACCTGCACGCCAGGTCCACAGGGGGCGCTGGAGGTCAGCTAACCTCCAGCACACAAGAGCCAGACCGTATAGCTCTTGGCGTCCACAGCCGTCCACACCTAACACCTGTAGCCTTCCAGACCTAACAGGCGTTTAATAGCTCCGTTAGCAAGTTTGTAACGATCACCTTAGGTGCCACATTTTTCAACTATAAAGCACTGACTTGCCAGGCATGGTGATGCAAGCCTGCAATCCCGTAACTCTGGGAGACCGAGGCAGAAGGAGCACAAGTTCAAGCCTACTCTGGGCAACTTACAATGTTTCAAAAAAATAAATAAAACTTAAAAAGGGCTGGGATATAGCTCAGTGCACATGCCTTAGGTTCAATCCCAGTACCCAAGGAGAAGGGTGGGCCCACCGCACTAAATTATATAAGGTACATGGAAAACAGCTTACATCTCTACACTAAATGACTAAATTTATAAAGCACCTAGGCTTTCTGTATATTTTAGCTGTGCCACATCAAAAGGTTTTTTCCACCTCTATAGACACTTCATGTTTAATAACATTTTTATAATGGATAGAGCACCACTTTTCAATGCAGTTAGGATAACTCATAGATGTAAGTGTAACAAAAGCCACTCAGATGAGGATGAAATAAAAGCCAAAATGGAAAGCACTGCTTGCGCACCGAGATTACCTCCCCACCTGCCGCTCTCCTCAAGATCCCACAATTCCCTGGGACTTACTAGTTTTATTCCACAGTTCTCGCTGGTATTTGACAGGTTCATTTCTCCGTTTTTCAAATTCAAATGAATTATCCTGTAAGAAGCAGAAGACTGTTAAGATGTAGAATGGAAGTGTCTCTTAAAATATCCCCCATGAGCGTCCTGGGGGGTGCATGTGAGGCCCCCAACTTCCGAGAATGCTGCGCTCAGCCTTCCCCTCGCCCCACACCAGCGGCACAGAAAACATCAGCGTGTGCGGTCCAGTGAGAGGCAGGGCCCACACTCACCCAGAGATCCCACGCACAGGAAGGGCCTCCCAGCCCATCCCAGCCAGACGCAGCAGGACAACTGCATTTGAGTCCAACACACAAAACTGCCATATTTACAAGTCAAAAACAGCAGATGAATATCAAGAATTTCACATGGTTCAATCTGAGCACCTGTCAGACAAGAATACAGAGCCACACACCCTAAATAAATGGGGCGCTGCTCTGTGGGCTCCCCCACCACGTGTGCTGTGGGTGCCCTCCACAGGTCCATACACTCAGCCACTGGGGTCAACTAGTTAACGATCTGCCATCTTAACACTTGCAAACAGCACAGGGCCACTACCAGGACTCCTGGGTTTCCCGAGCCACCTGGCAAGGGCAGTGTCCACACCCCTACTAATGCTGCTGGACCACAGCCTCAGAGACACAAGGCACCAGCAGCCGGCCAACCTGTGGCCGTGTTTTTCTTTACTCAGGGTGCCTCTCGGCCAGGGTGAAAACTGGCTTGGTGACTGAAGTCATGATTTAGCATGCACAGTCACAGGAAAGCTCTAGGGGGCCAGGAAGATAGCTCAGTGGAATAAGTGTTTGCGTGGCAAGCGCAAGGTCCTGAATTCAATCCCTGGTGCCGCCAAAAAATAAAAAATAAAAATTTCACACATAAAAGCTCTGACTGGAGGGGGGGCGGGTAAGGACTTCTGGCACACACTGCACATCCTGCCCTGTGCAGCAGGACGTAACTCTAATCCAAGCAGCAGGAGGACAGACTGGAGGCCCAGAAGAGGCAGAAGTGTGGGGTCAGGAGAGGCCTGCCCTGGGGAGAGAGGCCACAGGGCAGACGCGGTGCTGCAGCTTTCTTCCTCTCCCTGCACCAGGAAAACAAGGGAAAGCTGTGGCAGGACCCCGCTCCACTGAGCGAGAGCAAGATGCTCTGGGCACCACACCACTGCCCACTTCGGCCTCTGCCCACCGAGCTCCTGACCAGCCTGGGTTCCCAGGGAGTAGGTCCTGCCAAGGCGACTGGGGAGCTGAGCAGGGAGCCTACTACCAGCTCAGTGGGGCTTTGGGAACCCTTTAATTGATTCTTTGTCTCAAAATCCGTAAGTAGCTACCTCCAACTTCACCCCACCCCATTTAAGTGACTCCCTTCCTTGCAAGAGATAAAAACTTTAAGGATAAGAAAAATTCCAAAACCGAACTGGAAATTTTTCCTTTTTGAAAGTCTACAAAATAATGGTTTCCGGGACCATGTGAGGATGAGATTATTTCCAAATGCAATAAAGCACTCCCAACTGTGTTACAAGAACCCCTGTTATGGTTAGATGCC